CCGCCTCCGCCCCTGGTTGGCCAGCGCCAGGGCTGTCGCACATTTTGCTTGTCATCAAGGTCGCAAAAGCGGCGCTTTGCGGCTCTCACGTGACTGCCCTCCTGTCAAGCTCTTGGCGCACCGCTAGCGGGCGGGGACGCGGGCCCGGGTGGCTGGGAAGCTGTTTTGCGTCCCCGTAGCCTGAGGACCCGCAACAGGTTATTCCGGTTTGGGTTGAGGCCGAAGCCTCGAGGTGCCCTTCCCCCTGGCCGCGGCCGGAATGTGATTCTGCGCCTCACGTGGTTAGTCACACGCAAAACAACATCCAGCCTCGGCCCCGCTCAACACACTCGTAACCAGCCTGATAAGCAGAATTTTTGTTTGTTTCTTTGTTTTTCCGGGACTGGGTTTCTCTGTGTAACAGCTCTGACTGTCCTGGAACTCGCTCTGTCGACCAGGCTGGCCTCGAACTCACAGAGATCCGCCTGCCTCTGCCACCATCCCCCTCAGTGATGGGATTAGATGGGATTACCCTCCCTCACCCCACCCTACCCCCTCCCGGGCCCAGCAATTAGAATTTCTAACCACTACATTATCCGCCGGCCAAGTTTCACTAAAATACAACTTCGTGTATGGTCTCTTAACCTCTCAACCTCTCGGTCAAAAGCTTCTTACATATTGTCACTCCCAATCTGGGACCTTTTTCTGAGTCTGCAACCTCAGGCACCAACACCGAGGTACTCAGAAGACCATGTGTCCCTGAAATTTAGCATCCCAAAAGGATGCTGGATATTTGAAACTGATATTTAAGGAAAAATATTCCTTCTGCTATAAACTGAACATTTTTTAGGTCTAAGACATGGAGAAAACTCGAATACACTGTTTCATATATATTTAGAATACTTTCATAAGTAAAACTGTAAGTACTTATAAATACTGAAATTTTCAATGTATGGTCAGAAATTGGCAATTTTTGTACCTAGAGCAGCCGAAAATCTATGAATTATATGACAGTTTATAATTGCCTTCCAGGACAAAGGAAGGGTGACAGAATATATTTGGGTCTTTTTTGTTTGTTTCTTTTTCGAGACAGTGTTTCTCTGTGTAGCTTTGGAGCCTGTCCTGGAACTCGAACTGTACACCAGGCTGGCCTCGAACTCTCAAAGATCCACCTGCCTCTGCCTCCCCAGCGCTGCGATTAAAGGTGAATCTATTCAGTCTTGACACAAGAGGGTAGGAACTTAAAGACTTTTAAAGGACACATACATGTTCTGGAAAGTATGTGAAACCCCAAAAATGTTCAACAAAAATAAGAACTGATGAAATCACCGTAAGGAATCAATGCCTAAGCTGCTTAAGCTAGGAATATATTCGAGAAAAAAAAATGACAAGTCTGAATTAAATATTCAGTACCTGAATGTAAAGACGTGTATTATGTCATATTAAGAGCTTGATGTGCTGGACTTGCAGCTCAGTGATAGAAGTGTGCCCAGCAAGCACAAGGCTCTGAGATCCCCAAAAATCACAGGGGAAAAACTGTATTCCCTGGTTCTTTTACTAAAAAGAATCTGGCCCACAAATTCTGTGATTACTTGTATTCTTTTTTAATTTTTTTTTAGATTTATTTGTTTTGTTTTTATGAGTGCTTTGCCTGTGTATGTATATGTACCATATGGGTGCCTGGTGCCCATGAGGCCAGCAGGGGGGGGGGGTCTGAACCCCTGGAACTGAAGTTATGAATGGTTGTGAGCCACATTGTGGGTGCTGGGAATAGAACCCTGGTCCTCTACAAGAACAACAAGTGCTCTAAGCCACTGAGCCATCTTTTCAGCCCTATAACCTGTATTTTAATGTACAGGACCCCTTAAATAAAATGTATATCTCCTGTGCCTGATGTGGTGATACATGCCTTTAATCCTAGCACTTGAAGTACAGAGGTAGGCAGAACAAAGAGAGTTTAGGGCCAGCCATTTTTAAAAGAGAGAGAGAAAGAGAAAAAAAAAAGAAATAGAACCCTCTGTAGTCTTTTTTAAATTGCTATTCCTAAATCAATTTTTAAATTGTCATATAGGAATTCTGAGGTGAAACACAATGCCAACAAAATAAATGAGGCAATTCAGTTACCCCATTAGTATGTCCCCTCAGAACAAGGCAAGTGAGTAATTGTTCAGTTATATGGCCAGCATTAGTGCAAACCTGCAAACTGAGGTTTCTCTGTAAGACATGTGACTACCTTAGAACTCAAACACTTCAAAGATCCCTCCCTCCCTCCCTTCTTTTCATCTGAAAGTTAAGACAATTCTATGATGTAAGAAGAACAGAAGAGCCAAGCAGTGGTGGTGCACACCATTAGTCCCAGCACTCGGGAGGCAGAGGCAGGCAGATCTCTGTGAGTTTGAGACCAGCCTGGTCTACAAGAGCTACTTCCAGGACAGGCTCCAAAGCAATACAGAGAAACCCTGTCTCAAAAAGCCACAAAAAAAAAAAAAACTCTCACAAACATAAAAGTTTTCCTGTCGCATTGGTTGTTACTCAGTATGCTAACCCTTGCATATTCTTTCAATGCCACCCTTTCGTTAAGCTTAATCCACAAGAATGTCTGCCCTTTTTGCTAACCACGGCCTTTAGCGCCTTAATTATCACAATTTTGGTTGTTTTGGGGTTTTTTGTTTGTTTGTTTGTTTTTTTCGAGACAGGGTTTCTCTGTGGCTTTGGAGGCTGTCCTGGAACTAGCTCTTGTAGACCAGGCTGGCCTCAAACTCACAGAGATCCTCCTGCCTCTGCCTCCCGAGTGCTGGGATTAAAGTCATGTGCCACCAATGCCTGGCTAATAATCACAATTTTGTGATCTGACAAACTATGATTTTTTTCTTCAATTCTTTCACCTATAAATGGTTTATCTCCTCCCACAGGTTTAAAGTTCCTTGACAGTTATAAACCATTTCATCCAATATAGTTTTATATTCATCAGAGTATATCCATAGCAAACTCTTGAGTATATAATAATTATTTGAATGTATTGACTTTTATTATGTCTCTAGCTGGACACAGTGGTACACACCTTCGGTCCCGGCATTCGGGGAGCAGACACAGGTGGATCTCTGTAAGTTCAAGGCCAGCTTGATTACAAAACAAGGTCCAGGACAGAGAAACCCAGTCTTTAAAAAACAGGTCTTCTCATCGTAGAGCCCTCACCCAGTGGCTGAAGGAAGCAGAGACAGACAGACATCCACAGATACACACTGAGCCGAAATCGGGAATTTAGTTGAAGAGAGGGAGGAATGAAGAACGAAGGGGTCTGTACCAGGTTGGAGAAACCCACAGGAACAGTTGACCTGAACAAGGGAGAGCACATCGACCCCAGATGCTGTCCGGGAGGCCAGTACAAGACTGATCCAGACCCCTGAACATGGATGTCAATAAGGAGGCCTCTGCACTCCAGGGAGCCTCTGGTGGTGGATTAGTATTTTTCCCTGTTGCAAGAAGGGACTTTGAGAGCCCATCCCAATAAGCTTGTTCCCTAACTAGAACTAATAAAATAAAAATAAATAAAAATAAAAAACAGGTCTTCTCCATACATGTATATTATTTATTTTATTTAATTCAGTCTTCACAACAGCCACTTTACAGAATGAAAAGCTTCTCTTGAGATGTTAAGACTTTGTGCAGGTTCATGATATAAACTGGAAGACTTAGGGTTCAAGGCTAGGTCAAAACCAATGTCCTTTGAGTTTCTCTGGTAACTCCCCACAGTATCACCCTCCATGATGTCAAGTCTATAAAGTAAATGAAAAGATTGTTTCTTACATATGATCTAGCTATTATGATTAGATAACCAGCATCCAGAATAAATGACTACTACAGAAAAATTAAAAGGAAAACATGGAATTAACTTGAGAAAATTTGTTTTTTCATTTTTCCAAAATTCCATTTTGAGAAAATTTTACTATAGTGCCACAAATCAAGAGAATAAAAATTCTTTTGCCATAAGTATGCAAAATAATTTTAATCTCATTTTCATAGTCCACTAAAAATGGGCTTTGGCCTAATTTAAACCCTCTTTCTATAACTCTGAGTTTTTATTTCATTTTTCAAATATAAATAAGTTATTATTTGTGATATTGTTAATACCTATTCTAACTTATTCATAATTTTTTAGTTATGTGACATCAGTGTAGATATCCACAGAGGCCAGAGGTATCAGATTCCCCTGGAGCTGGAGTTCCTGGTGGTTATGTGCAACCCAACTCAGGTGCTGGGAATTGAACTCAGGTCCTCTGCAAGTGCAGTCTGAGCTCTTAACCACTGAGCCAACTCTCCAGCCCCTATTTAACTAAATTTTTATTTGAAATTATTTTGGATTTATAAACTTCAATTAAATGTCCAGTGTAGCATGAATTCTCTTTGGTCTTAATAATAAAAACTCAGAGTCAGCTATCAGGGGGTGAAAGCTGAGGACAAGGGAAGTAAAGGAGCCAGCCACTAGAGAGACCTCTTAACTCTACTAAATCCTTAGAGCAAAAAGGCAATCCTGTCCTCAGACTGCCTATCTAGACTGCTTCAGGCTGACTGCTGCTCAGACTGTCTTGAGTTCCTGTCTCCTCCTGCCTTATATTCCTCTCTCTGCCCAGCTAAAACACTCCTGTCTCCACCTCCCTAGTGCTGGGATTAAAGGCATGTTATCCCAAGTGTTGGGATCACCTTTGTGTGAGCTGTTTCTCTTTTAGACACAATTATGTGTAGTCCAGGGTGCCC